ATGAGCTTCAATGGATTCAAGTGTGGTTGGACGGCTGAAAACCTGTCTGGTGAAATAGTAACAATGAATGGTCTGATAATGCTTACGTGGTTTAAATATAATCATATCAATATTTTCCATCTCTTTTCTCTTAAGGGTTGAGCTCTCGCTGCCTGGGCTGAAGAAATCCTTGTAGCAGGTGGACCTGAAAAACTTCTGTTTCACGTTAAAAAGCACCTTCTCAGCCACTGCAATGCAAAGTGCAGACATTATGCTTGGAGAGCTTTATATTCCTTTGTCTTCCTTACCATCACAGAATAGCATTGGGTTTTCCAAAACACACCCCTGATACTGGACATAAGTTACAGTTATCATCACAGGCACATATAGTAATATTCCAAATCACGGGCCTACTTAAGTTCTTATGATAGAATTTAGTTGTATATTGTCTCATTTGCAGAAATCCACACTTAAACATACTTCCCAGATGACCTTGGTAAAAGCATTTGTGCCAGTTCACTGTAGCTTATTTGCATTGACAGTAGAGTTTAAATGATCCTTTATACCAATACGATTTCTTAGTATTTCCTATTCATCAGAAAAAACAATATTTTTCTTGTATCTCCAGAGAAACAAGGCAGTATCTGTATTTTGGATATCTTTGTGGCAGTTTTTTTTTTGAGGTCATCTGAGCCAAAGTTATTCTTTTGTATTATCATGTAAATAGTTTCATTGACACTTTTTATGTAATATACTCTTGGAAATAAAGTTACAACAAAGTGTGTTTGCTGCTGCATTTCAGAAACGTCACTGAGCGATGAGGATGGTTTGCACGCTTTATTACACATGAAATGCTCACATTTCCGGCTGGAAGTTGTGGTCGGTGGGCAGCTTAGTGGTTTTGCTGAAACAAAGACTTTATTAGAAATGAAACAGCTTTCAGATGCACATCAGATAAAATTCTTTGCTCAAAGGCACTTTTGATTTTGTCTCAGATTTTCTCATATAATTGGTTTCACTGTTTAAAATGCTTTTCCACAACCTCTGTGAATGGCTTACATCTGTTTCCAACAACAACAACAAAAAACAAAACGTTTTTTGATAAGTGTTTATGCATCTCAGTTTAATAAATAAACATGGTTTTGACAACAAGAATACTAATAAAGTGGCTCACTGCATTTATGTATGGAAAATTCCTCTGTCATGGTTGTAGCTGATAAATTAATTACAGTTTTTTCAGCAGGGCATTTTTTTTTTCGCTGCCATAGGCTTATGATTGGTATCCGCTAAAGATATTAAAAAGTTGAGCTTAGAGTTTTGTCTTGATTCATGTTTACCTGTTTTTCTGTTGTACATTATTAATACGGAAAATTATTTCCAATTAATATTAAGTTGATGCTGTAATTGAAGTTTGTTTTCAGCTTATATTTATGTCAAATAAACATGTTCAAACAAATGCATGGTGGGTTTAAAGTGGTTCCAATAAGTGTGAATGTGATCCTAACACTGGAGGAACAGAGCTTTCAAGCATGTGTTTTATAGCGACTCTACCATTATCCAGTGTAACAGCGTGAGGCTCCTAACTAATAGGATCCCTAATGGTTATGGTGATAATGCAATGTTTAGTCATAAAACATGAAATTCAGCTTTTTATATTCTATCCGTTGATTTTATAAAATGACCTTCCTCAGCATTTCATCAGAGCCCTCCTTTCATCCATCCCCCTCCCCCCCGCCGACTACAGATTAATGGACTATTCCATCACTAGGCTCGCTCACCTAAACTTTCTTGTTGCTAGGGGCGCTGACAGTTCGGTACAACGTTAAACACCGAATTAAAGTTACCACAGTAGCGGCAGTTATTTTTTTTCTGTAACAGCTCCGGATGGGAAGTAGATAAAATATTGACAGCAATTGTTGTATTAATAATCAAGGAACCATATCTACTACCTGGCGGGAACTACCTGCCGTTGGCCGGTGCTGAGGTGTTCACGCGAGGTCGCCGTTGCCCCCCTAGCAACGGCCCTAGCAACAGCATAAGGGTTTCGTCAAGTAGCTAGCGTTAGCTCATGATACATTTTTTTTTTGCCCCAAAATGAGTTTAAGCAAGAAGAAAAGAAGTATTCTGGACACTCTACCACTTTTGCCACCAAGTCCATCAAAGGTAAGTTTTGAAAACCACCACGTTGTTAGTAAGTTGGAAAATGTCTACATTTAGCCGTTTGTGTGTTGGCTGCCACTTAACTGGACATGACCAAAGTTTGCTAGCTCGTTAGTTACTTAGTGGTACAGTCTGTAGTGACACTTGCCACTAAAATAACTAAAAATAATTAGTGTCTTGCCCATATTATTTTTTACATTGTCCCGGTAAAGTTATTCGGTTGGAACAAACACATTTAACCTAACTTGTTTCTGAAAACAAACTAACACTAACTGAACACCACTGCCCAGGTGAGAAAAGAGCCATGGATGGAGGCAAAGCCTGTATTTACGCTGTATCCTCGACTCAAGCAGGAACCTCAAGGAGCCGAAGCAGCTGTGAAAGGTGGGTTCAGTTTTCAGAGAAACTTTCAAAGTTTAGTTGGTTATATATAGACTGATCAAATTTATATGAACTCTAATAAGAAATGATGACATATTATTAGATACTTGACTTACCAAGTGGAACTGTTTGCCTTATATGTACTCTAGAAGGTGTGCTGAGTGAGGGAGCAGCCAGTACACCACATGGAGGTTATTTCAGACCCCAGATCCAGATCAAGAGCAGAATGGCACACCGGATCCCTGGGACCTCCAAACATTGCAGCAGTGCTCGAATAAAGCACAGAGATAAGCTAATGAATGTTCGTAAAACTCTGGCTAAATTAACACCGTGAGTTGAACAGTTTTTTTGCAGTCTTTTAAGTTTGCTTATTTTTCTGTTGTGACATTTCAACATTTATCCATCTTTGCCTTCGTGACTCTCCTCTGTATGCTTTGGCAGCAAATGCAGAATGTGATTAAGCACTTAATGACTTACATAAAGGGATCTATTGAATTTGGTTTCTTCACAAAATATTCAGGCAAAACCTTTTTGAGGGCGTCTTAGTACCGTAAACCATAGCTAAGGCCATATCTGCTTTACACTATGCAAGATAGGAAATACTGTTTATATCCACAAAGCCATATTGATTGTGACTCTTGCTTTGCACTTTTCTATTATTTTTTAGCCTGCAGGAGAAGGAGGAGGACGACAACTTTAAAACAGAGGCTTACTATGAAATGGTAAAGTTCAATGCACACTTGATGTTATGTGCTAAATCACATGCCTCCATTTTGTCCCATTCTTCATTGTTTAACATAATCTTTGAAAGACACTCGATATGGGAGGCTGATGTTTTGTTGTGCCGGTTTAAGGGGTTGCTGTTGCTAAGTACAATTTTTTATTTTTTACTTCAAAATACATCCTTGATATATATATATATATGTGTGTGTGTGTGTGTGTTGTATATATGAAAGCAATAAAACTACATTGTTTTTTTAAATTTCAGCATTTTTATGTGCAGTGGAACAATCGACAGAAAAGAACACTCAACAAAATGTTATAGCTTTAGTCATGTGCACAGCATTCCAACCTAAGTCAGCATTTTCTAGTGAAAGGGAATATTCACACGTTTAATCATATGCTTCACAAAAGCTGAAGCTTGCTCTCAATTAATCACATTGTCACTCAAATATTTGTTTAAAATGTCTTTACTGTTACTGAAAATTATTTAATATTTTGTCAGATATATAACCTCTGCATCCAAAGCGGGATAGACCTAAAAAACGTGGTTCCTTTGCAAGATTCTTGGCTGAAGAACATTCAGGAAATAGTCCCTGACCGATTGAAGATCCTGAGCACATCACTGGAGCAGCTGGTCGATGAGATCAAGGAGAACTATTTGCTCACCATGAAGACAGCATTCGGTATGTATTTCATTACACTTAAAGCTATGAGCTTTTCATAGATGCAAGCCTATAACCTGCACAAATCAATTTTTAAATTCACAAACTATAACCAAGATAAAAACATTTTTTCAAACATAATAACAATTACAAAAAAATCTTAAAAATCTACAATTTTAATGTTCAACAGTGTGTTACTATGATATTCTTTGTTTCAATGTACTCTGTGTGTGATTCCAGTAAAATATATAGCTAGAGATCCAAAGGGAGAGGACGAGGACAAAGTGAAATATCTGCCCCCTCACAAACTTGAGTAAGTCATTGGGATGTGTTGGACAGTATGCTGTGCCGTTACTTACAAATACTATGTCGGATGGCAGTCATGACAAAACCACAAGGAGATTTCTTGTTTTTCTTTATACAAGAATAATTTGAGTTTCAATAAGCACTGACTGGAAGCCTTTGGAAAATATAAATTGTATATTTTTTATTGGCTTTAGAAAAAAGGTCTTTTCTTTACAGTCACTCTGCTATCTTTCACTGTCAGACTGGAGATCGTGCCAAAACCATGGAATAAATCGTTTATCCAGGCGCGGAAGAGGATGAATGAAAAGCTTCACTCTTTCAGTCCCACTATGCTGCAACTGCTGTCCCTTTGGCACGTCTCTTACAAGTAGGGATGCAGTGATACATTTTTATTTATAGCTCACAATTATTCATTTTTGTTATTTTAATAACAATTACAATGTAAGTGCTAGAGGCTTGATCAACTTTTGTCACATTGCCTTTTAAATTTAATAACAACAAATATATAATTAAAAAAACAACTTTTGATTTTAATATAATTTAGCATGTTTGTGTTATTAAAACAACATGCCTTGTGCAATATTATGGGTGTATTTTTATTTTCTAATATTTGATTACAAGTCAGAAGCACAACATATGAAAAGTAGTAGTAAAAAGTGACCTACACAGCACGAAGACAACAAAGCACATACAGTGCAAAGGAGAATATACACAATGTACTATGCATATATACAAATGAGTACATAGACTGCACAATATATTAAATCAATGTGGATGCTGAAATGCTAAGTTGAATATTACTTCATGCATTGCTTTATCCATAAATTAAATTAATCACATATGGTAACTGTGGGTATATTGATACACTTATGAAATACAGTAATGGAACTTGTAAGAAACTCCTTTTCAACCAAAAATTAAAATATTTATATAGAACAAATGTTACACAGGATTTCTGAGGACAATTCTCCGGACTTATGTTCAGTTACAAAAAAATGTTGTCAGATCTAAGATATTGCTGTGCTTTTCCAAAGTTTGTGATTTATTGTATTATATCACGTCACACACCCCTGATGATACGGGTAATAATAGAGCATTGATTCGGTAGATCTATGTTTGCCCTGTGATCTTACTCCAGTGGTTGACTTGTTTGCAGCAATCTCCGTCTGATAGATGTAAAGGAGTTTCACAGCAGAGAAGAGTCCCTTGAGCTCTCTGTGTTTCAGAAGATTGTTACCCAGCATGTTGATAATGCCAGAGGGATCCTCCTTAGAAAGTAAGTCCACATTAGCACCTAATACCAGCATCTTTGTCCACATCTACATAGCAGCGAGAAGTGAAACTGCTCGAACAGTTCACTGAGTCATGCCCAAGAGCACTTTAGAATGCAGTTCAGCATTGTTAGAAATGACATTTCAAAGCTGTCAGTCATCGTGAACATGAGGCATTTTAACATGCTATCAGCAAAGCAGTCGTCTGAGGTTTACATGAACAACAGGTGTTCTACCCCTCTAATTGTCATGTTGTGGTTGGTTGGTGGTATGTTTCTT